ACCTCGGAGATAGCCGAGTTCGTGCGTGACGTACACTGACGTCACACGAACCTTCGATGGCATGGAAACATATGCATGCTAAGAAACATCAAAGCGGGTGTAGCGCCATCTACCGTCACAAATTGTGATTCACTTTGGTTTATAAATTATTTATAATTTATATATAATATTATTTATTATTTTCACATAAAAAAATACACATATAATTATCAAGAGTATATAATGGGAGTTCTCCCATATTATACTCTTCATTTCTATAATGTACGTCGATGGTTGCTCAATTAAAACTGACTTCTCACTCACTCATTTGTGTCTTTTTTTGTGGTGAGCTACAGTGTCATTGACACTTTCATTATAGGTAGTGAGCGAGTGGTTAGGGAAGTTTTAACGTGGAAGTAAATGATGTAGGGTGACAGACTGGCAGTATAATTATGGTTGGGCGTGTGCCCGTCCGGGCAGGCGTACGTGCGTGCGTGCATTCGTATATTGCTGAAGGATAAATTGAGAAAACGAGAAAATGGGATCCCTAGATAGTATTTTAAAACCCAACTGTGTGTATTTGAACGGAAACATAATTGCCTTTGATAGGCTAACTCGGTTTTTACTTAGGCTCTTTGAGTAGTGGGCAACCGCACACAATAGCGCGTCTGTTGAAAGCTGAAAAGAGTTTAAAGCTGGCGTTTATTGCTATTGAACAATTATTGCTGTGAAATAGCAGGTTTAGGCCGAGTTTCGTGACGGCGAGTCATGGAATCACATGAGCAGCGCTCTCGACAAGGTCGAGAAAGAAATTCCACGCTTTTATCAGCACCTTGATAGCGACTTGAGTGACAGCTAACGAAAACACCGCGTGGAGTGAATGCTCAAATCCCGGGCCGAAATCATTTCACTTTGTTGTCGTGCACATGTTAAACGGAGGTTAATGGAATGAAATTTTGCACAGAGGAGAGATAGTGATTTGCTAGAGGGCGCGTTAAATGCTAGCTTATTTTTGGATAATTTTGTTTCATTTTAGAATTAGGGATAGGGTTAGGGTCAGGGTTAGGGCCAGGATTAGGGTTAGGGTTAGGGTTAACTGATTTCTATATCCACAACTTATTTCTATATTCACTATCTCGCCCCTGAGACCTACTAAATGGAATGGGACACTGTTGTCTTGTAACTGTAAACATTTTGCAGAGTAAATCATAACCACCACCACGACCACCACAACCGCTGCCATTAGCTTAAACGCAAAAAAATCGAGAGAAAAAAACAATGAACATCATCATCAACTTCATCATCGTTATCATCATCATCATTATCACAAAATAACAACAACAACAACAACAACAATGACATCATTACCCTCACCATGCATCACCAACAGCACCTCCACCACCACAATTATTGCCGCCAACCCCAGCAACAGCAGCAGCACCATGCATTACCAACCCTGCGGAAACTGTACGCGGGCTATAGTACTAGAGCTATACCAACCCTAGACGTGATGCGGCCATGATGCCGAGGCTTGCCGAGGATTGACACTTTGTGTCTTCCAATCACAGCCTATGCCGCACCTCTGTTTAATATTTTTATAGGTGGGACCCATAACAGCATGGAATCGCCGATCGCAGGAACTAGGGCATTCTGCTAGGCTAGAACGGTTTCCTACGATAGAGTTTGGCACAAAAACTAAAATAACACGCTGTTTAGCGCACTGCACTACGTCATTCTGTTGAATTTTCGCATCTCTGTAATCGGAATAAGCTCCGCCTTCTTCGTTGATGGGCATGAATGGGGCGTGACCGACGTTACCGGTTCCTGTACCTACCGTTTTTCGCCGGCCTATTTACTTTTCGTAAATAATGAAATGCCCGGCCGATGCATTTCACATCGAAGTAAAAAATTTTCCGCATTTTCACTCGTTGTCAGAAGTAAACGAGTGCGTCATTCATTGAACATTTTTCATCAAAATACAGCCAATGTTTACATGCCACAGCGCCATCTCTTGGATGTTTTATAAGTAAGTATGGGGATTTTCAATAAAATAATGAGTTTTTAATGTATTTACCACGATTTACGTATAGAAACTATATATGATATTTTTACTGATTTCTCCGTATCTTTCCTTGGAATTTTTATCGTCTTTCAATGCCTTTCCGTAGATTTTTTTTGCGTTTTCTGCGTGATTATTATTCTGCGCAGGCACTCATTTTGGAAATCCTCCAACATTTTTACTTCTTCCTTAGTTAAGTTAGTCCATGTTTCACTGTTATTTATGAAGGAAGGTAAAACTGTGCATTTGTAAATTGTATATAATTTCACTCTTGCTTCTATAGTATGATTTCCATAATTTTGCTCTTCTGCTCATGATAATAAT